TGCAGGGGTGAGGGTGGAAGAGCCAGGCAAAGCTCTGTGGTAGCCAGGGGAGAGAGACCATATAATGTGTGTGTGTGTGTGTGTGTGAGAGAGAGAGAGAAAGAGAGACTGTGCACGTGCACACTTGGACATGTTTGAAGGTCAAGAAGTCAAGGATCTGTTCAATAGAGAAGAAAATGGTCGGGAGAAGGGTCGGGGAGATGGGCGACCTCCATGGGACAGGCTGGGCTGGCACAGGCCTTCAGAGTCCTCTCTGCCTTCCCTAATTCTGGAAGAAGTCGGTCATTTTGGGGCGTCTGGTAATATCCTGTCCCTGGGTATAGGAGATGGGTCCCACTTCATACCCCTTCGCTCCCCCTATCCCAGACCCCTCCTCTTCCTCACATCTTTATCCAAATGACCCTCGATCACTCACCCTAAGGATATCCGTGCTCTCCCCCTTTCTCCTCCCTCTAGACCAGTGTGGCACTCTACAGCAGGCACGACAGAGGCATGAAATGAAGATGGGACCGGGGCAGTGACCCAGCTCCAGCCACTGCCCCAGCCCTGTCCCCCATCTTATCCTGCAGGGTTCTCAGGGCCCTTGGCCGTGATTGGTGACAGGAAGCAGCTGGGATTCGGGGCCCGCTGGCGGGCTGCTTCCCGGTTGGCACAGAGAGCCTGGCCAATGAGGTACTCGCTCTCCTGGGCTGCATCTGACAGGCGCAAGTCAAACTCCAGGAGGGTCCTGTTGTCTGACATGCCTTCCAGGAGCTGCTTCCCGCCATCCTGAGAGAGGAGTACAGGGAAAGGGTCATTTCATGTTACTACCCAGGATCACACACACGCACACACACCTACACGCTCTATATAAAGATGTGATGAGTGGTGCCTGGGTGGTGCAGTCGGGTAAGCGTCCGACTCTTGATCTCGGCCCAGGTCACGATCTCACAGTGCATGAGTTCGAGCCCCGCATCAGGCTCTGTGCTGATGGTGCCGAGCCTGCTTGGGATTCTGTCTCTCCCTCTTGCTGCCCCTCCCCTGCTTGTGCTCTCTTTCTCTCAAAATAAATAAATAAACTAAAAAAAAAAAAAATTAAAAAAACAAAAAAAGATGTGACTAGGATAAGAGTTTCACAAAACAATGGTTAACCTATTTGTGCACCACATTACTGTGTTCGGTCCTAGGTTATCCTACCCTATCCCATTCTCTGCCGTAAGAAAAAATGGTGCTCAAGACATAGTAAATTGATTTTTCAACCCTAATGGTTTGAAAAACATCGCTCTGTGGCAATGGTGGTAATTCCACTCCTCTGGTCCAGCCATGGGTATGTGAGACAGATCTGGCTGATGACATGTGAGGAGGAAGTTTGGAGGGAGTGGCTTCTGGAAGGTTCTTCTCGCTCTGAAAAAGGAACAAGAGGGGTGCTCTCCCTTTTTCTGTCTCTGAGCATGATGCTTTGTGAGGTGCAGCAGCCATCCTGGGACCATGAGAGAAGCACCTGACAGGACATGGCCATGTGGCCGGGATGGGCAGAGCAGACAATGGCACTAAGCCATTGAATTTACCAACTCCAGAACCCCCTACCCTGGGGCTTCTGATTATGGGACATAAAGTTCCTCTTGTTTGTTTGTTTTTCAGTTTATTTATTTATTTTGAGAGAGAGGGCAAGCAGGGGAGGGGCAGAGAGGGAGAGAGAGAGAGAGAGAGAG